TCATGGATAGGCCAGAGGCATCTCCTGTAAGAACTTTTGCTAGTCCTGGTAACTAATGTTGGTTTATCTTTACCCCCTTAAAATGGCTTTCACTGAGTTAGCCAGCAGATCTTATTACTAGCCCACAGCATGTAGAAGCCATGTAGTTGCCTGGTCATGGTGGGCCAGATCCTACTGCTGTTGTTCTCAGTGCCATCCTCCAAGCCACTGTGTAGTCAGCATGGTTGGTTCCTGCTAGCTCTGCTTTGACACCATCACTTTAAGGGACAGGGTTTGGAACATGGTCCACCTGTATGTACAGCTTTGCCACAGCACTGTGCAAGATGCAGGGATTCCCAAGTGGGTGGGGCCTCAGGAACTGTTGGTTCTCTTTTCAGGATGGCTGTCAAATTCTTAGTGTGGAGGAGGCACATAGGACATAGCCGCTTCCTCTCTCCTCAGCCTTCTCATTCCCAAAATGAGCTTGGAAAGCTTCTGAGGCAGGCTTCCTGGAGGCTCTGTGTGCAACACCCCCCCCCCCCGCAGCTTCAGAGCCATCTCAGAACAACCAGTCTTTGGTGCCCCAACCCTCCTGCCTCCTCATCGTCCCCAGAAATGACTAGTCTGGCAACACAACTACTTTTCTTCTAAGAAATTTGTGCCAGTTCATGTTTTCTTGAGTTGCAGCCTTTGAACAGGCCATAATTTCTACAGAGCCTCGGGCTGTCCCCATAGCCTAGACTCAAACTGTCCTGGCCACCGCCCCCATTATTATTTATTAACCAAATGCCTCCTCCCTGTCTTACTTACCTGCCATTTCATTCTCAAAACTTTCAGCAATTTCTCTGCTTATCAATAAAGCACAGCTAATGTATTCATTACTTTTCTCAATATTAAGACAAAATACTTGACAAAAGCAACTTTAAGAAGGGTTCCTTTGGGCTCCCAGTCAGGAGGTTCTGGCCGAGGGGCCCAGTGTGAAGTGATTGGTCATATGACTGTTGTTGCTCAACTGGCTTTCTCCTTTTTTCTGTTTCCTCTTGGACCCCAGCTCATGAAATGAATGGTGTCACCTGTATTTGGGGTGTGTTTTCTCTCCCCAGTTAAAATTCTCTGGAAATGCCCTTACAAACATGTCCAGTGATGTGTCTTCTTGTTCAAACTCAGTCAGGTTGACAATGAGGATTAACCATAATTTCCGGTTTCTAGGGGTTGCCTGTAACCCTTCTCCCTTACAGTCAGAGAGGAAAAGTCATTTTAATAATGGGGTTTTTGATGTGGTCTTCTTGAAGTAACCACCAGCATGGTTGGTGCTTACAAGTGATGATAGATGCTTTTTGTGCCCTTTCAAAAAGCCTGACTTCTCACCTTCCAAAAGGAATGTGCAATCAATGGCAAGCCTAAAATGCATGTGAGTCCTTGATAATTACTTTTGTTTTTTTCACCTTTTTATAGCTACCATTATAACATAGTTAAGTTCAGGCAATTTGGAAAGAATTTCTGGTGAGTTAAGGCACAAAAAGGTAGTTATCAGCAAATTATCACACCTGTGCCTTACTGAAGACATTGCAACTCCCCAGCAGAGAAGCAAGACTAGCAGATACTTGCTGGCCCACTGAGCATCTGCCTGATGAAGTCAGATCAGGTCTGTGCTAGGATTCCAACCACAAGCAGAGTGGAGAGGTCAGACGACAGCAGCTGCTTCATCCTCCACTTTCTGTGAGAGTCAATTAGAGAGGTAGGCCTGAGGAACTTGTTCAGATGTAGGCACCAAGGCCTGGTCCAGTCACATATGATCCAAAAACACCATAGGTCTGTGGATCCCACTTGGGGCACAGGCACAGAAGTGGGACACTCAGCCAATTACAGAAGAGGACCTCCATAAGAAATGTTATGAGTGCTTAACAGTTGTCATACTGATAGTCACACTAATAAATACCGTAGCCATCAGAAGCCATTTGCAGCCAGGGGAGATTATAGAGTCGCCTGCCCATCAAGGGGCCTTTTTCCTCAGCCATCTTCAAATGTTGATGCTGATCTTGGATGTTTCCTCATTGTTCTCTCATGACTACATACAACTATAGATTGGTATGGGGACTAGGCATCACCAAGAGAGCTGTGCCAAAAGAACTGAACGTTGGCTCCAACCCTTCCTTAGGTGTGGCAGAGTATCCCAAGACCACAGTGGAAGCCTGAAAGTTGGGCAAGAACCAAACCCTGTGAACACTATGCTGCTGTCAGTCTCAGCAACCTCCAAATGCCCTTCTCTTTTCTGTGGTTCTTATCCGTCCTCTTAAAAGAACAGTGATGCTGAGTTTCCAGCATCACTATTCTTTAGGCTCATGGCCATTATGATGTTTAAAGCAAGGGTGACCAGAGCACAAGCTCTGTGGCACCACAGGTTCCTTCGGTCAAGTGAAATGTCACTGAATGGCCAGTGATTCACTCTCCTGGAGTGGGATGGCATGTCACTTACTCTGAAAACTGAGACACTGCTTACCATTAAGCAGTCAGGATACAGTTTTGGTATGTCAGACAGAGGTGATTCACACCCATGGTGTGTGATGACATTTCGGTCAGTCTGAAAACTGAGACATCACTTAATGACTAGCAAGCAGGTAACTTACATACCATGGATATGTCACTCAGAGAAATGACACACACACACACACACACACACACACACACACACACACACACACCTGTGAAATGTACTGGCATGGTAATTTGAAAGCTGAGACATCGCTGAGTGACTAGCTAGCAGGTGACTTAGGCAGAGAGCTGATTCACCCCAGTGATTCCACCCTGCTTCTCAGAATTATGTACGATTTAAAATGAACTGGCTGTAGAGCAGTGAAATAGCTCAGTAAGTAAGACTATTTGCTATGCAAGCTTGGCAACCTAAGTTTGATCCCTGAAACCCATGTAAAGGTGGAAGGAGAGGACTCTCTCCACAAAGTTGTCCTCTGACATCTACATGTACAGTGTGGAATGGGCATGCACAATAATTATAAATACATAATTTTTAATTTATGGGTTGTTTATTTATGGAATTTCCATTTAATACTTTCAGATTGTGGCTGACTATAGGAACCTGCAGTATGGGAAACAAAATCACAGACTATGGAGCACTACTGCAGTTGTAGGTATTTTCACATAATTGTGTCACTAGATGAAAGGAAGCAACAAGCAATACACAGTTTGTTGTACCAGCAAACTGATTAGCATGTATCCATCAGGCTCCTCCAGCATCATCCCTCTGCCTTTTTAAAAAGGGCATAGGTGTGCTATTTTTTTTTTCTGGTGTCTGTCAGGCCTCCAATACCGAGCCTGCTTTGGCTGATAGAGATTCCTGGTTTCCATAACAAGTCTACTTATGCTTAATGAGTGAAACCATTGCTGTTAACCACAACTGTTAGCCCATTCAGAAAAAGATATTTCTTTTTATTTTGGAGAGCAGAAATGTCACGCCCAGCCATGTTAAGAGGCATCACTTAAGTGAGCTTGGGCTATGACATAGACAGGGACAGCATCACAGCCAATGGCCCAGGAGGGCACTGCCATCCTCTTTTCCTAATTAAATGATGAAAACATTCCCTATAAGCTCTATCCAGTAAGAGCAGGTTTCTCCTGTTCACCAGCAGCTATGATAATGACTATTTGTGGCCAGGAAGGAGCAGAAATTGCTGACAGGATTATATTTCTTCTTCAGTGAGCTGGTGTAGATGCTGGCTGGCACAGTGCCTGTGCTCCTTAGAACTGATGATATCCTTGTAGCCGAGTGTGATTTATCCACTTGCCTTTCCATCTCTCCCCTGCATACTGCTTTTGACCTCCTGCCCTACTGTGGTCTCCGGACAGCCAGCAGATAAGCTACTGTAACCAAGCCACAAGGCCAAGCTGTTGAACAGACTCTGGACATGACAGGAAGAGTATTTTCTACCAAGGGGCCTTTCTTCTTTGTTTTTTCTTTTAATCATTTTAACTGCTGCCACCCCCCCCAAAAAAAAAACAAGAAAGAAAAATTTAGTGACTATCACAGAAAAACAACAGCAAATAAATCTGCATGGTCTATAGGTGTGTGTGTGTGTGTGTGTGTGGTGTGTGTGTGTGTGTGTGTGTGTGTGTGTGTGTGTGTGTGTGTGTGTGTGTGTGTGCTCGCGCGCGCGTATGTGTGTGTAGAATCCAGAATCCAGCTATCCCATTATTATAGGGATTCAGATATTAGGTCCATATTGATTGTCCCATGAGTGCTACAGACAGTCTGAAGTTTTGAGACTTTTTTTTTACACAAATGGTCAAATTCAGAGAATGGGTTCTTGTGGACAAGAGGGATCATGGTCTATTCCATTTAGTGGGTCTTGGTTGAAAACAGATACTGTTTTCCATTCCGAGGCTCTGCTGATGAATTAGACAAGGCTCCTATTAGGGAAGAACATGCCACATGCCCACACCAATGGACAGCAGGATTCAGCATGGTGCAGGGGCATTCCTGCTTGGAGATACTGTGCCCCAAATGGCTTTGCTTCTGTTTATGCAGTGCGGTCAGTCTGTCCTGGTTTCACAGTGAAGATGAACTTAAGTCTTCACTCTGAGTGCTGCTGTAAGACAGCAGCAAGGACAGCCATGCAGGCAGGAGGTTGAGTAGAGAGACCCTGCTGGTGATCCGTGCAGAGGCTGAGAGTCCCCAGTGCATATCCTAGGTTGGAAGGAAAGGTGATGTCATGGGCATCAAGGGCACCTGCTGCACAGAAGCTTTGCAATGCCAAAGAGCAAAGGAAAGGGAATGGTGACAGATGTAAACTCTGTCTCCACAAGCAGCATCTCTTTGTTCCTGTGCTGAGTACTTATAAATGCAATGTCCTTCCCACCAGTTTATTTTGTGACCTTGAGCAATGATCTCACTCTCTTACCCATCAGGCCTCAGTTCTCCCATGTATCCAATGACATCCTAACACAGGGTTCCCCGGTCATCAGGCAAGCAAGTGGCACTCACGTCTCCTATATTATTTGTTTTCTAGGAATAGAGCTGTGCCCTCCAGGAAAACGGTTCATGATTACCATGGTGGCAAGCTTCGTGGCTATGGCAGGCCAGTTCCTCATGCCGGGGCTGGCTGCGCTATGCCGGGACTGGCAGGTGCTTCAGGCCCTCATCATCTGTCCCTTCCTGCTCATGCTGCTCTACTGGTCGTGAGTATCCTTCATAATGTACTACCTCATCCATGCTTGACTACAGGCACTGACCTCCACAGTGCTAACATGTTTTTCCTGACAGGATCTCACCTCAAATCAGTCTTTCTCAACACACACACACACACACACACACACACACACACACACACACACACACACACACACACA